CATTTAAAAATCACTTATTTAATAAATTAAATTCCTTCATGAATAATGATACTGAACATATTTTCATGAGCTTACTTGTCATCTGTACATCTCTGGTAAAGCATCATTTTAGATGCTTTGTCAATATTTATTGAGTTATTTGTTTTATTGATTTGTCWGAGTTCTTGACATATTCTAGGTATAATTTTTTTGGAACATATATTTTGCAAATATTGTCTCCCAGTTTGTGGTTTATATTTTTCCCCCCATTAACTGTCTTTTGATGAACAGAAGTTTTAAGTTTTGATGAAGTCCAATTTATTGATTTTTGTTGTTGTTCATGCTTTTTGTTTTGTGATTTAGAAATCTTTGGTTTTTGGGGATATAGCTCAGTGGTAGTGCACTTGCCTAGCATGTAGATGGATATGAGTTCAATTCTCAAACACACACACACACACACACACACACACACACAGAGTAATCTTTATCAAACTCTAAGTCATCAAAAATTTCTTCTACGCTTTCTTTTTGAAGTGTTTTACAGTTTTAAATCTTTTTGGCCAGTGATCCACTTTCAGATATTTTTTGCCTATGAAATTTTTAGGATTTTAAAATATCCATGATACACATTTTACATAAATGTCAGCCAAATATATTTGAGAATTCATATACACGCTATTTCAATTATTATAATGCTAAAAGTACAAACCTAAGTTAATTTTAAGGTACATACTTAGAAATGAATTGTATCATTGTGAAATTATCCTGACTTCTTACTGTAGTTTGGGGTCCTCCCAGTCTTATTCTTTGCCCTGAGCTTTATTCAGAAAAAATAATCCAGGTTGGGCTCTTTTATGCTCTTTGATGGAGTTTAAAGAGGAGGATGCTTGGCAATGAAATCAACTGTAGAATAAAAGGCATGGAAATAAAATGGGGCAGGAGAAGTTGAGCTGTGATGCAGAACTTATAGGGGGTTTGCCTATTCTGACAGTGAGCTCCGGATCTAAAACAGCTCTAAGGTACTGGGCTTTATTGACTGAATGCTTTTATCCACGCTTTGATCAGATGTTGGGTTTGGGCCACTCCAGGACACCCAGCTCTCTGTAGGTCAGGCAGTTCCTGAAGGGACAGCACTTGGGCCATTGGAAGAGWATACCCTTCCTTGTAGAGCGATGTAGACAGAGGAATACAGGCAGTGCATTTCCATGTTATAATATTCTACCCTTTATTGTTTATGTCTACGGTTTTATAAACACCTGGATAGAAATAGCTGTCCTCCATAATTCCATAGTCTTATTCCAGGAGGAACTTAGAGAGGTAATGATTYCCACTTTACTCTTGTTGCTGAAGCTGGTCTCAGAGTCCTAACTGATACCTTCCCAAAACATTATCTAATCTAGATTCCCCTTACCATTTGCTGCTTAGCCCTTTGTTGCTCTTGGTGACTTGGCGTGGTGAGAATCAAACCCTAACAYTGAGGACTTTATGACCCTCGTCATTGTGACTTTCTCAGGCTGGGGCTGTTTAACTTGTTCATTTACATTTATAATTTTCACAGTGTACCAAGGGATGCCCASTCATGGGTTCTATACATGTTTCTCTGTGTTCTAATTACATAATAGTGTGTCTCTTCCTGATGATAAGGGCCAATTACCCTGCTAAGTTGATGACTCCTCTTCTTTCTTACTGGTTTCTGGACACATGGAGAATGAAGTGCCAAGGGAAGCCATAGTATGGCTTAATGGGACATTTGCTGTGTTCCCTGGAAGAAGTACTCCTCTTTGGAGACCAGAACTTTTAAACTGCTGAGCCAAGTGTTTGGGGGATGGGAGATTAAAAATTTCCAAGCGATATTGAAGGTGATGGTGAGCAGGGTTATTCCTCTCTGTCTCAATGCCTTCTTGCTGGGCACACAATACAATGTGGGAATCTTTGAATCATGGTATATTGCATTCTGGAGGATATGGCCCCATTTTCATAAAAAACACCTCTAAAATGGAGCTTCACTAATGCCTTCATGAGGTTGTTGCAACATTCTGTCAGGATGGCTGCTTACAGAACATATTTTGACTAATGCATCTTTTTGTCCTGTGCCCACTCCCATACTTACTCAGCTCTTACTCAGTGCAAATAAAATGAACTCTTGGATAATAATATTGACTGAGATTGTGGGCAGGAAAGACAAATCCAAACCCAGGTCTATTCCTACCAGAGACAATCACATGTTGTTATGGTTTAGATATGATGTGTTCCCCAAAACYCATGTTTGAGACAATGCAAGAAAGTTTAGAGGTTACATGATTGGTTCATGAGAGTCTTAACCTAATCAGAGTATAAATCTACTGTAGGTAGGTAAGTGTAGGCAGGTAGGGTGTGGTTAGAGGAGGTAGGTCACAGAGCTTTCTTTCTCTGCTTCCTGGTGCCATATCCTGAACTGCTTTTCTCTGCCACACCTTTTTTGCCTTAATGTGCTGCCTCGTCTTGGACCCAGAGCAATGGAGTTGGTCATCTATACACYGAGACCTCTAAAACTATGAGCCCCAGTTAAATTTTTCCTCCTCTATGTTGTTCATGTCAGGTCTTTTGGTCGCAGTGGTGAAAAAGCTGACTAGCACACACGTCTTTTCTGTGTACAAGTGACATGAGTGGCCAAACAGCCTTCTTGTGGAATGGTGCCATATCATGGATTTGGTGTCAGTTTTTGTTGCTGACAAGTTGGACTTTAAGAGACAGAAGTAGCTACATTCATCATGAAAAGTGGGAGCCCATGCTATTGAGCTGATGCCTAAATTCTATCTCTTCTTCATGTGTCCATTGTTTCGGCATTGGAGTGGCCAAAGAGAGAGATTGGCTGACATCRGCTGAGTCCTTTTGGCTGCCTGGTTACTTAGTGCTTCTTCTATGGTGCGAGCTCTTGGATTGGTGGAAAATTTTAATACAAAGACTTCACACTTATGTCCACAATACGTTTATCCATATATATTATTTTCCACCAGACTTCTATGTCTCTGATCTTTCTAATCTTTGTTATTCTAAAACTTTGATCAGCTAGCTGATTATTTGTCATTGTCCTTGTCTCCTTATATATCATAATCTCAGACCACTTTTTTTTTTAATCTGAAGCAGATAACTAGGTGTGTTGTAAAAAACTTCTACTAATTGCTAAYTTATGAGTGAGGCCCTGATAGTCTGACCCATCTCTAAGCCACAGTTGGATATTTGCATACTCATAAACTACTCCTCAGGGATCCCCATCTGGGCATGAAAGTGTGCTGCAGTAGTGATGACATGGGTTCTCAGCCATCGGAGTTAGCAGATATGACAGGATTCCGCTCATGATGGGAAATTCTAGCTGTGTAGTCATTTGTTCTCCCATAGTCTGCCTGCCAATTTGTACCGTAGCTCAGTAACATACCAAGAGTTGCATTTCACAAGACATATATTCTCCATTGCAAATTGGGTGACTTTGCTCAGGTACCCCAGGGCTTGTTACAAGATTTACACATAGTGCTTCCCATAAATACCTCATGGCACTATTTCCTACCATTGATACTTATAAGAGGATCTAATGACTGAAGTGACTTGGACCTGACCATATACAGTTCTAGAATTTTTGCTGGATTAGCAGCATCCTTAATTTTATTTTGTTTTTGACTCTGTTAACTATTAGCACCTTTCAAAGGTTATGAATAAAGATCTGAGCAAAGTGACTTCATGGGCATAAGCTTTAGCTGAGCTATAAGAGGAGATATTTCAGAGATCATGAAATGGATTCTAGCAGGAGTTGTGTTTACTTTGTGGTTTCTGGAGGCTGCTCTCTGTTGTCCTCAATAGGAGTAGAATAATTGTATCCATTATGGACTTCCTGGTGGTGGTGGTGGAGGGTATATGTATGTTTAAAAAAATTGGAGTGGAGACTGACTTCAACTTGGCTACTTGTTTATGCTAAAAATGGTTAGTAAGTTACTTTTTTCTTATTTCCACTTTTAAGAGAAGCAAAAATAAGCCAGTTCAATATACTACATATTTAAAATATAAAGTAAAACTATTGTTATGGTGAAACATATAAATAAGAATGTTTTTTTTTTCTGGTGAGAAGAGGAAATATATATTATTTATTTATTCTAAGGTCATAAACATTAGAATTTTCAGAGCTTGAAGRTATCTTCACTATCATCTTGTTTAATCTTTTCATCTTACAAACAAGGAAAATCTTTTATCTTATTGACTCTTTTCAGTAAAGCCATGAAACATTTTGTTGTTTATAAATTTGTAAATGTATCCATATGCTTTTTTAAATGCTCTTTTATGATTTTGGCCAGCAATGTTGAAATTAGCATGTTTTGATCTTTGTGTAAGTTGTTCAGAAAGAACTTAAAAGAAGTATTTAGGAAAATCCAAGTGCTGAAACATTTAAGATATGCTTTGTGGTCTCAATTTTGTGTGATTGTCAGCCAGGAAGTTTTCTGATTAAGATGGCTTGCCAATTCCCTGCCAAAAAAATTATTTATTACAATAATGGGGATTTCCTATTTGAGAAGTTAAAGATAAAATGTTACTAATATCATTTCCCCTGAAATAATTGACATAGATTTTTCACGTGTGAGTACACAGAAATATATGCATATTTATATGCCCTGCTTATATATATATAGTTATAATTCACTAATTAAAATAATAACAATAATGGAACGGAGATTGGTAAAGTAGAGCAAGCAGATCAGAGGGAGGAAGAAGAAAAGAAAAAAGAAAAGTACTGGAAATAAGATTGATGAAATTGTGTTGCATGWGAGTACAAATATGGCATAATGAATCTCACAATTATGTGTAATTATAATACGCCAATAAAAATAAATTATAATTTAAAAATAATTGACAGAGATCAATTGATGTATTCTAATAAGATTAAAATCAAGAATAAGACCGAAAAGGCCTTTCTGAAGCAAGAGTAGGAGTTTGGCAAAGAGAGTGGTTTGTTTGTGGAAGGCAGGATGTGTATAGATAGCTTTCCAGGGAATGGCATGACAAAGTCCTTGCAGTTGGGAGAGTGTGATACAATAAAGAAACTAAAATTAAAAAAAAAAGAAAGTAATAAAAATGTGCCAAGATGACATAAGTAATTAGTGAGGGCAAATGTAGCATGAGAGGAGATGGAAGAGGTTGAAGTGGACACATCCCGCAGGCCCTAGCATCACAGAGATGTTTGATGCAAGGGAAGGTCACAGGATGATTTTTGCTGGGTATCCACACTATTTCGTCTGTATCTTTAAAGAGGGCTGGGGTTGTGGCTCAGTGTTAGAGCGCTTGCCTAGCCTGAGTGAGGCACTGGATTTGACCCCTGGCACCACATAAAAATAAAAACAAATATATCTTTAAAAGACCACATTGGCTGCTGCTCTATAGACATTGCATTGGATTGAACTAAGAGTAAAAGAAAATAGACATTACCAGAGACCATTGCATTTGTTCTAGGTGAAAGAACTGCAACATCGGGGATATTAGCAGTGAAATGGAGAGTAACATGGTATTTTGAAGGTAAGATCAAGGGGCCTTGGGTTGGGGATATGGCTCAAGCGGTAGCTTGCTGGCCTGGCATGCATGCGGCCTGGGTTCGATCCTCAGCACCACATACCAAAAAAGGTGTTGTATCCACCGAAAACTAAAAAATAAATATTTAAAAATTCTCTCTCTGTGTCTATCTTTATTTAAAAATCAGTGGGCTTTGGTCATTAAAAGTGGGAATAAGAGAGMGATGTGAAGATGTGTCCAGATTTTTGGCTTAAGAAGTGTGTATGTGTATGTGTATGTGTGTGTGTGTGTGTGTGTGTGTGTGTGTGTGTGATTTATTGAAGTAATTTGATGCTAGAGAGGAAAAAGGTTTGAAAGAAACTGAAAAGTTCAGTTTTAGAAATGTTAATTTTGTGATGTTAGTGAGATGATCAAGCAAACCTGTCAAGTAAGGCACATACAGGTCTGGAAATTTGAGTTAGAGATATAATTTCGGCGTTTTGGGCATATAGGTGGCAGGAAAGAAAACATGAAAGTTCTGAGTCATATTAGGTCAGATGAAAGAGGACAGGTCAGATGAAAGAGGACAAGTCATGTAACAAGAGGGAGGGAGACACCAGTGAAGAAGAAAACCAGTAAAGTTTTGCATCCCATGGTACAAAGAGTATTTCTAGAATCAGTGAGTAATCACGTCATTTGGGAGGTACAACACGAGGACTAAAAATTGTAGATTAGAATTTGGCAAATTGAAATCAACGGTGAGGCTGCTGCATGTCTATGCAATGATGCTAGGAGCACGGGCTGCGTGTGACTCTCCAGGATCTGGCTCCGCCCTCTTCTCAAGGTCAACCCTTCTAGGCCGCAGCCCTAGATCCCTTTCCCAGCATGCTCTGCGACGTGAAGAAGCGGCTTCCGGGCCTGAGGGCGTTTTGTGTTGGCTGGCGCTGGAGAAACAAGATGGCGGCGTCGGAGGAGTGACAGGGGTCTACCCTGGCCGGACCCAGCGGCAGTGGTGGCAACTGTATAGCTGCCCTAACTCACCACGCCCCCTTTTCAGCCCGGGACACGCCATGAAAGCGAAGCTGGGGTGGCCACCGAGAAACAAGTGGCCTAAGTAACCGCGAGAACYACTCACAGACTGCGGCCTGCCTRAAAGAAACCTAACTGMGTGGCGGTGATTGGGGTTCCCTGGRCTGATTCTAGGCCCYGTCACGCCTGAAAAGGCCTTAGTTTCCCACTGTCTGCTGTCCTCCTCCGCAGCCTTGCCTGGTGGAAGACCCCCCGCCACCTTTGTCCTCCCCTCAGGACTTGGATCCAGTCTCCATGTTCGTCTGTCCGGAAGGCGAGCAGCACTGGCTCCAAGGCCGAAGTTGTTGTTGGAGAGAAATATAAACTGGTACGGAAGATAGGGTATGGCACCTTCGGGGACATTTATCTGGCGTTTAACATCAACACCAGACAGGAAGTGGCAGTGAAGGTAGAATCTCAGAAGGCCCAGTTTTCCAAGTTGGTAATCGAAAGCCAAATCTATAGGATTCTTGAAGGTGGGGTTGGCGTCCCCCACATCTGGTGGTACGGTGAGGAAAAAGGCTATAATGTGTTAGTCATGGATCTTCTGGGACCCAGCCTTGAAGATCTCTTCAATTTCTGCTCAAGAAGGTTCACAATGAAAACTGTACTTATGTTAGCTGACCAGATGATTAGTAGAATTGAATATGTGCAYGCAAAGAATTTTATACACAGAGACATTAAGCCAGATAACTTACTAGTGGGTATCGGGAATGACTGTAATAAGTTATTCCTTATTGATTTTGGTTTGGCCAAAAGGTACAGAAACGACAAGACAAAGCAACACATACCATATGTGGAAGGTAAACCCCTCACTGGCACTGCCCGATATGCTAGCATCAATGCACATCTTGGTATTGAGCAGAGTCGCCGAGATGACATGGAATCRTTAGGATATGTTTTGATGTATTTTAATAGAACCCATCTGCCATGGCAAGGACTAAATGCTGTAACAAAGAAACAAATATATGAAAAGATCAGTGAAAAGAAGAGGTCCACTTCTGTTGAAGTTTTATGTAAGGGGTTTCCTGCAGAATTTGCTATATACTTAAACTATTGTCGTAGGCTGCCCTTTGAGGAAGTCCCAGATTACAAGTATCTGAAGGAGCTATTCCGCATCCTTTTCAGGACTCTGAACTACCATTATGACTACATATTTGATTGGACGAAGAAGTTAAAGCAGAAAGCTTAGCAGGCAGGGTCAGCCGGCACAATCCCCCACAGGCAAGCAAACCAACAAAACCAAGAGTAACATGAAAGGTTTCTAAGCATTAATTGAAGAACAGAAGAAGCAGAGCAGATGATTGAAGCAGCATTTGTTTCTCCCCAAATCTAGAAATTTTAGTTCATATGTAAACTAGCCAGTGGTTGTGGACCACCATTTACTTGGTGTAAGTAAAGAACTTAATTTCAGTATAAACTGGCTCTGGGAAGCATTGTTGATGTTGTATCATGAGTTTAGCCTCTGTAATTGTGAATATTAACAGTGAAATGGTGTCTGGTTTGCTATTGCATTTTTTTAAGTGGAAAAGTTAACTAAATGGTTGACACTCAAATTGKTGGAGAAATTGTGCATGTACTTTTTTTGTTTGTTTGTTAAAACCTTTCATATTGTGCTGTACTGCTTTGAGATCTCATTTCAGAAGAACAGCATGAACAGTCTTCAGCCACAGTTGTGATGGTTAAAAATGCCCACGATTGTGTATTCTTAGGGTTTTTCCACCCCTGGGATTTGCRAATTGTTCACTTAACACATTCTTTATATGTAGCAACCAGAGATTCCAGTGTTTGATTATGCCAGCTTACTGTGCTAGAAATAACAGCATCTAAAGTAAAGACTTAGTGACTACTAGATTATCCTTAGGTCTCTGCATTAACTCTATAATGCTCTCGCTATTTTTAAAAAAGCATATTTGTCACAGAAATTTAGTTCACATCTTACAACTGAACATGTATGTATGTTGCTTAGATAAATAATCATTGTAAATGTCTATATGATCTTGAGTTTTTAAAAATTTTGAAATGGGAGCTTTTTTGTTTATAAGTTCATTAAAAACTAAAATTGGAAGGAAAAGAAAAAATCCATGGTGACTTCAAGAACAAARGGGAACGATGTCATATTGAAGTGGGTTGAAGAATCAGAGATGAGAAAGTGCAGAAAAGATGTAGAGACAACTGTGGTGGACACCATTAGCCAACAACCCAACAGCTCTTTCCCTAATGTAAATCAAATCTCTGTTTTTCCATAACCAAGTGCTCAAGTTCCTTACGGAAGTGCTTCTTCCTAATTGTAGGAAGGGAACTGACCCTGTTCAAATCAGTTTTCATTTATTTTGCCATGTGATTTTGTTTTTTTTTAGCCATGAGTATTTTACACAATCTTGCCAATGTCTTCCCCACATTCTTAACTTAGGACAACACTAACATACTAATACCATAGTTGACAAACCAGCTTTGCGATTAAGTGATATCATTTCAACATTCCAGTACTGATTATTAGCATTTGCTCTATTTAGCCTGAAAACCTTACTTAACAACAACTACAATTATTTCAATTTATTGCTTTCTTGCTATATATGAGACATTGTACAACATACTCTATGTACATAATATTTAAGCTAAATCACCATCAACCTTGTGAAGCATAATGGCTCTTTATTTTTCAGGAAAGTTAATCAGAACTTAGAGATATTAAGTAAAATACCCATGACATGATAAGGTAAATGGGAGAACCAATGAGGGACTTCCTTAGTCCATTAGAATTGTTCATTCTGTACAAAATAGAAACTGCCATATATTACAYCTATTTAGGAGCATTTTACTCCTGAGCTGGTCTACACTTGCCTGTTTTCTTCCTTGCTCAGACTTGCCCTTTTGATTCTATTGGCTCTTAGCCAACTCTTACACGTGAAGATTAACTATGTTGATTTTACCACGCCGACCCTACAGGAATGATAAGCTCTCTCTGAAGATAGTTGGGGAGAGGATTGGGCTATTTAAGGTTTGATCTCAATAAGAAGCATTATTTGTCAATTTGATGACCATACAATTTTACATTAGACTAAAAAAAAAGAATTCATTGTATATTTAAAAATTGAATCAAAGATATTATTTAGGGGCTGGGTTGTAGCTCAGTGGTAGAGTGCTTATCTCACATGCTTGGGGCCCTGGGTTCAATCCTCAGCACCACATAAAAGTAAATAAATAAAAATAAAGATATTTTTAAAAAAGATATTATTTAGAACTATATAGCACTGATAGAGCCTGATTTTGTTTGACACAAATTTAAATTTTCTTTAGGAAAAGACAAATTTAGAATGTTTTGAAAGTGGAGACTAAAGGGTGCAAAGTTTACTTTTCCAGGAATCAGCTATGTACACATTAATTTAAGGGCTCCACTGTTTTTAGACTTGAGAAGGGTTCAATGTTTTTGAACCTGTTTATTCATCTGTATATTGGTCAGAAAAGTATCTTGTTTTCAAGACTGATACTCAAAACAATGTAAAACTCAGTTCCTGGTCATTGTAAAATATTCATACAACAGTCATTTAATGTCTATAGTGTTTTAGGTATGGTGTTCATTAAAATAGTCTAGGTGGTGGAATAAATTCATAAATAACATGTAAATAGATGATAAGTTGTGATAAAACCATGTCAAAATCTTACAGAAATATAGGATAGTAGATGTGGAGAGAATGAGACTGGAATAATAAGTTGAGTAGAGAGCATTACTTGGGCTGTTGTTCTTAGTAATGAGCTTACTGAAAGTTTCTAAGTGTGAGGATGATACGATTATAGATAATGTAATAAAATGGTAGTTTTTGGATGAATTGGAAGGGAACATATAGGATTTACAGAAGAGAGTGGTGAGCCTCCAGTAGGACAGGCAAAGAAAGAAAAAAGATCATGTTTCTTTCTGTTTAACTATTGTTGCCTGATAAACCACTTCAGAACAAGTGGCTGCAGCAAAGAATCATTTGTTTTTTCTCATTGACCTATGGATTGGCTGGATATAGTTCTACTGGTGGTCTTGCTTGAACACATTCCTGTGATTGAAATCACATCATGGCTGGAATATGCCAGCCACATTCCAAGTAGATTCCCTCACATATCTGGCTATTGGTGCCCACTGTGGGCAAAGGCCTCTCTTCTCTCTTCCATGTGGCCTCTCATCCCTGAGGCTAGACGAGCTTCTTTAGATCATGGTGGTATCATAGAATAGTTCCAAGAGAACTAGCCCAAGGTACATGTGCTTAGCAAGCCTCTAGTGGGGTCACATTTGTTGATCCCATTGGCCAAATCAAGTCACATGTCCAAATGCAGTCAAAGTAAAAGGAGAGGTTGACTACTTCATGGCAGGAGTAGTGGAAAATAATTTGTGGCTGTTTTAAATGTATCACAAATGCCTTGAGACATTTTAGAGGATACATTGATCATATTTGAGAAAAATGAGATGTAAATAAGAATAGGGAAGATTAAGGATAACTCAAGTGAGAAATAGATCTTGGTGTAGTAATGGAAGCAATGAATACAACAGGAAGATTTGTTGATGAGGGACCAGGGGGATTGTATTTGAGTATTTCAGGAATATGTTGAAATTGATGCCTGTGAAATATGCCAATGAATTGACTAAGAATGTGGAAATAGAGATTGGAATGTAGAATAGCTTTCTAATAAGAGTATAGAGATTTGGGGATCATTGGCTTATAGGCCTTTAATACCACAAAGGAGAATTAAATTTCCTAGGAATGAAAGAAAAACAAAAAGTGGGCCTATTGTGGAATTTAGAGAAGTATTAGTAAATGGCAGAAACAGTTAGTAAAGGAAACTGAAAAATTAAGGTCAGATAATGARAAAGTTAAAAAGTGGCAAAGAATCATGACAAAGGAAAACTATGAAAACATGGTAAATTACTAAAAAAACCCCAATGAACTGTGCTGCACAATGTATAAAACTATGAAGATCAAGATTCAGAGATACAACTGAATCTGTCTTCATAATTTCCTTTGCATGAAGAGTTTGTACTAGTCTGAAGATTTTTGTTAATTCAAAGAAAATTTGTAAAGCAATAGATACAATTTTCAAGGGTAAATTAATAGCTGAATATTTCATACTGAAATAGACTACTGAAAATAGTTGAAAAACCAGAAATGGCCATTTGTAAACTAACAGTGACCAGCTTGGGAGGATACAGTATAGGAAACATAGTCACTCTCTGAAACTGTATACAATCATAGGATAAAACATCTCTTGAATCTGATTGAGCAATGTTAATAGAATATCCAAAGGAGCAGTGAATATCACTGAGTAACTACTGAGTGGGAGGTTATAGGTACTTTAGTTTTTTTTTTTTTCCTAATCCCAGAGATTGAACCCAGGAGTGCTTAACCACTCAGCTACATCCCCAGCCATTTTTATTTTTYGTTTTGAAGCAGGGTCTTGCTAAATGGCTTAGGGCCTTGCTAAATTGCTGGGGCRGAACTCTGTAATCTAGAATTTTCCTGCCTCAGCTTCCTGAGTCACTGGGATTACAGTAATATGTACCATGCCTGAAAACTTTTTAAAGATGCAGTTGTGTTTAAATGCGTATCATTTAAATCTTTAATCTTTAAAATATGCCCTTTAGAAAAGCACAAATGGTAATGATATGGATGATATGATGCTACCCACCATATGATATCCAGGGATACACCTGCACTTAAGCATGGACACAGCTGTGGCACAAAAGTCTCAGGAAGCTGAGTCAGACCCCACTGTGGTTTCTTGAGTTATATTATGTTGGCTACATGAGGAAGAGATTGTGGGGTTTGAAGGATTGATTTAAATTTCCATCTACTGTTGAACTTTTAATTCTTCCTTCAATTTTGTCAGTTTCTGCTTCATATATTTTCAGCCTCTGATGCCTGTATGTTTATAATATGATGTCTTCCTCATGATTGGATCTTTTTATCATTGCAAGAAGTCCATATTTTGTCTGGTATTAGTACAGACATTGCACCTATCTTTATCGTTGCGTACATGGTATATCTGTTTCTATCCTTTTATTTTTCAACTTGTTTGTGTCTTTAAATCTAAAATATCTATTGTCAACACGTGGTTGGATCATTTTTCTAAAAAGTCTATTCTGACAATATATGCCTTTTGATTGGAGTATTTATATTTATTAAGTTGGATGTGGTTACTGATCAGGCA